GCTCACAAGAACATGGTTCACTGAGTAGTAGGTATAGAGTAACACTGACTTTTAAAATCAATTGCTTTTCTACTGGAGGAGAAAATTTAGCCTTGGGTAAAACCGTTGCATTCATGTACAGCCTGTAATTTTGTTGTAGTTGGGTAAAACTTCATGTGGTTGAGCAGAACCTTACTCAATTTTCTGATCTAAGGAGTGTTTTTGGTGAATGGGTCTTTGAAGATGGTAGGAAACATGCAGTAAGAGTACTTTAGAAAGTTTTCAAAGCATTTTCAGATCTGTTTTGAACTTCTTAAAGTAAAGCTGGATTTGTATGAGAGTTAAGATGATCAGCATGTTGCACCACAAACCTGCAGGAGAAACAACAGGAATGATGCAACCTGTCATAAACCTTTTAAATCTCCTTCAGGGAGAACATATTGCTGTACTTGCCCTGGTTAAATGACATTTCTCATCAACAAGGGATATGATGTGGCATGGCTGATGTGCAGAGATGCACTTCGAAGGTGAAAAGCATTATACGAGTTGCAAGTTGCTGTGTTTTTCTCATCAGTTAAAAACTTGAAGTCTTCCAGGCTGTGTGTAACTTGGAGCTGGTGGCTGACATAGTTGGAAGACAGTTAAAATTCATAGTTGTGTTCGGTGAATGCAGCAAAGCAGCAAGTTTACTGCTCTGTGGGAAGACAGCTTTTGTTTTAGATTGTAAAATGGAATCTGGAATCTCAGCAAGAAGTTTAAGGGTTTTATTTCTTTCTTCCACTTCTGCACTATAACTTCAGTATGGATATTAACTGAGTGTTGCGAGAAATCCCGCCATGTTGGTCGTGATGGCTAACATCTATTTCAAAGGATAACTGGAAGTACCTAGGTGGCTGACATTTTGGTCAGCAGATGCCAAAACCAGAGAAGTGCTGTATAAACATGAAGGCAAGAAAGGATGCATTCATTTTGTTGCTGTTCTTTCTAACTGGACTTTTCATAGTAAAGTTAGGTTTTGGTTTGGAAGAGGGTATTGGAGAGCAGATGCTAGATCTGATAGATGTTTCTGGCTTTCCTCAGGCAAGGTGCCAGTTGGGCTCCTGCTCAAGTATCATAGCAAATAATGTTTTCTCATTTAAAGATGTTGGGAAACATCTGTCCCTCCTCCCTTCCGCCTTTAATGCAAGGACACGTTGCTGACTCACGTTCGACTTGGTGTCTACCAGGAACCGCAGGGCCTTTTCTACCAAGCTGGTTTCCAGCTAGGTGGCCACCAGCATTTATTGGTGCCTGGGGTTGTTCTTCCCCAGGTGTGGGACTTTTCACTTCCCGTTGTTGACCATCATGAGGTTCCTGTCAGTCCACTTCTCCAACCTGTCGAGGTGTCTCTGGATGGTAGCAAGACCATTCGGTGTATTGGCCATTCCTCCCAGTTTGGTGTCACCAGCAAACTTAATGAGGCTACACTCTGCCCCATCATCCAGATCATTAATGAAGGTGTTAAAAGATTAGACCCAGTATTGACCCCTGGGGTACGCTGCTAGTTGCTGGCATCCAACTCAACTTTGTGGCACTGATCACCACCCTCTGGGCCTGGTCGTTCAGCCTGTTTTCAATCCACTTGACTGTCTGCTCATCCAGCCCATACACTGTCAGCTTGTCTATGAGGATGTTAAGTGTCAAAAGCTTTTCTGAAGTCCAGGTAGACAATATCCACAGCTCACCCCTCATCGAGACCAGTCACTTCATCGTAAAAAGTTAACTTGTTGTCGAAGTTGGAAGGCATAAGCCAGGAACCTGCATGTGAAGAAGTAACCTTTAAACTGCCCTACACATTTCACTGTTCCATAATTGGGTAGCATTGCTGTCTCAGTCTGTTCCTAAGTGCAGGACACTATAATGTCGTTTGAACTGCTTGTATTAGCTACAAACATAATCGTTCACATCTCATGAAACACCTCTGGCTAGATTTGTCGAAGTACAGAGCACTTGCGTATGTGTGACTGAAATGTACCGGTGATGTCCTTTCTGTCAACTTTAAAAAAGAGAAGTTCGCCCAAGAATTGACCTTGCATCTCCCTAGTTTGGTATTCAAACCCATGGAATCTCTTTATTTCTCAATTTCCTCATATATGTAGAAGTAGGGTAACACTGAGTATCACTAAAATTCATCTTAGAGGAATACAATTTTTATGAAACACTTGAATGCATGGAGAATAACTGAGGAAACGCTCATGGGGAAATCCCAAACCTCTCCAGTCCAGCAAGTGGAGGGTATACAATAAGTAAAAATCACTGGATGTAGCGTGAACTTGAATGCAAAGCCTTTAAAAGAGATCAAGAATTATTACCTGTTTCTTCGATGAGACAGGAATTTGGCGGTTGCATGTTCACATAATGCTGCAGGACTGTATCATAATGACTATATAGAAAAGAACCTAAGGTTTCCCGAGTTCTCAGTGCTTTTCTTCTTTTAGGATATTTATTAGTTTTTCTTCAGTTGTACTTATCAGCATAGCTTTTCTGCTTGCAAAAGGAAGTCTTTGTAATGTCTTGTTTAAAAACAGCGTAAATGTTTTACGGTGTAAACTGTATGAGGTAGAAACTGCTGTCTGTTTTCTTCCGTTTGAGGGTATGTACCCAATCCACTAATGTATTAAGTGTGTTTCTTTTGCTAACAAAGTATGTATTGCTGCTATGGATAGCATTTTAAGTTATGAAAACTGTAGTTAGTGTTACTTTTGTAATTCTGTCTATTCTAGACATATTCTGTGAATAGGCTGTTGTTAATAAATACATGATTTTCCCAGTGGGGATAAAATGAGATTCTCTTAAAGAAAACTACAGTATTTTAATTTTTCTTGGCCTTTTAGTATGGTATCTATGGGTGGGTATGTAGGTATCTCTACATGTAACAAATTACTTTTGATCTTGGGATTGTTTAGTCTGTAAATCAAGAGGCTGGTAAAGCTGAAAATCATATTGAATTTTTAGTGAATGGAAGAACTGGGACTGATTTCAGTGTGGGCAAACTAAACCCACATACTCCTCATTCATGTGGAACCTGGATGATTTTTTTGGGGAGGGGGGTAGTTTTTCTTTAAAAATCTCAGGAAAGTTTTAATTCCAAACTTTAAAAAAAGTTCTACATTGTATCATACTCCTCATATCTGCGGTCCACTGCATACTCCTTAATTGTGTTAAATTGTTTTTCTTGCTGAAATCATTTGGTATAATTATGAGCTAATGACTGTGTAATTTTGTTGGATTCTTATTATAAACACTTTTGTACCAATTAGCCACCTAATATATATTGTTTCTGGATTATTAATATTCGTGAAAAACAGAAAATAAACTGTTGCTAAAACAGGCACCCTAAATCTTTTTCTAAAAAAAGTAGCAAGTGTGGTTTAACATAGCTACTGATATATAAAGTAATCTGTAATTTGAATGTTGGCTGTTTTAGAATATTAAATGATTTAAATATAGCACAGTTCTTAATTAAAGGTTAAAGTGCAGGTGTTCTATGTGGCAGCTTTCAGATTGGAGAGTAACTTCTAAAACTTTAGAATTTATTATGTTAACAATTTTTTTCCCAAAAAATATTTATTTAGAAAAGAAAGGAAAAGCATGTTCCAAGGTCATCTTGTAGCATCTTTCACTATTTCACCTAAATTGAGTCCTGGTCGTCATCTTCCATTTGGTGCATGAATGTTTTCATTCTAAGTGAATTTTGAGTATATAGTATGGTCTGCTGTAGGGGTTGCACATCAGTCTTGCGAACAAGAAACAAGTGCTTGATTTCATTACCGTGAATGCTTCCTAAGTTAAATGTTCAAGACTGTGAGGTTCATATGTAAAGTCCTAAAGGATTAGTTAAGTTCCTGCT